TGAAGTAGACTTTGGATCATACGGTGTCAAAGTAAAGTTTATCACGTCCATGAATCCTTTAATTCCTTTCATGGGTGCGCCATGCACCCAATCGCATAAAATGTATTGATATCGCAAGCATTTGGTGGCATATTCGGTCAATGAGGGCTGTGCATGATGGACCTGCCGAAGCAGAAGTCCACTGCTATCAGATTTGATTTGATTACCAATAACTGATTGCACAGTGTTTGGAGGGTAAGACAGGGTAGATGGGTTTTAGTTTGTGAGTTGGTCTTCATAAATGCTTGTTTAAGGCTTCACTTGCTGCTGCCGCATCTTAGCCATGCTTGAGATTTGGTAAGCCCTGCTGTGGACGATAACTGTAAGCGATGAAGCTTGCGTGCCGTAAACAGCGATACTAGGCAAGCGATAGCGACGGTGTGCGGCATAAAGCGGCAGTATGGCGCCTCTTGATGGCGTCTACTGCCGCGTTGTGCCGCAGTAGACGCCATCAAGAGACGCTATACTGCATACACAAGGGACATTTGAAGACAGCATGATATCAAGTTCGGTTCAGGTGGTATCCTGAGTGAGGCACATGTCGAGGAAATTTGTACGGCTATACTGAGCTTCATCTCAACAACGTCCGAAAACCGACCTCCTCTTAACTCCTCATTCTGTCTCAGGACAACCGTCCGTTAGGAAGAGATCGTATCAGTGATTTTGAATGGGGAATTATTCAGGTTTTAGATAGGGTTACGATGTTGGAAGCTGACGGGTCACATTGATAGGGAGGCGCCACGTGCCGTGATTATTGTGACAGTTCATGGCCCTAAAAGTGCTGCAAGTGACGGAACTGTGTAGAATTGCTGTTTCAGGAGCTGTAGGTCTCTTGACTATCAGCGCGCCCCTCCTTCCCTTCTGTACCAACTTCAAAATTACTCTCATGGACGGTTTATACTGCTTTACCCTAACCAGAGGCCGAGGCTCTTCCCAAAAAAAGAAACACTGTCGAGTAGGAGTAGTTAACCTCAGAACAGGAAAGAATGAAATCCTGCAGATATTCTATCAGGTTGTCTGGGAGTCGTTTTGGCCATTTCGATCTGTTATGCCTGGTTTTTAAATCTTTGTAGAGGATAATTCTTCGAACATTTCTGGTGAAACTTATGTGGACCCTAGGTTTCAATGATTTCTTGTGTACATTTCTGTTCCTGGTTCTCAGCAGTGTGAATTACAGCTGAAAAATTGTGTTTCTTTGTCCTTGAAAGCATATTTGGGTTGCCTCCTTTTTTCTTAAAACCCAGTAAAACGCTCCACTCATTTTGTCTCTGTTGGAAAGCGTATGCGGCAATGCGCCCGCCCTGCGAATGGAAACCCCAGGGTATCGTCCACAGCAATTTCGTGCCGAAGATTCAGGAACCCGATACAAAAAAAATTCCAAATTTGTAGTTGGTTTGTTCCACTGAATGATTTAGTGTTTTTCTAGAAGCTGGTTTCAGGCAACGGAAGGCAATTGCACGGGGAACTGACACCAGCTTTTTCACAGTTATCAGAACACAATAGCCATTCCTCAATAGCTCCTCAAAAAGAAGAGAAATTATGGCAAAAGGAGATTTTGTGATATGGGTGACAACCGCCATCACAGGCCTTCAGATTTTGCATGAACATTTTGATTTACCGGTCTCTCGTGTTGACTCGACTAATTTATTGGTAGTCAGGAAGGGGATCCAACATGTAAACTGGTAGTCGGTTAAGTCGCGGGCAGGTTGGCCCAGACGCGTCAAACAATCAAGGATTCCAACGCGATTCCAGTATCTGCCAACCTGGGAGGTAACTTTAAGATTTAGTGAAGCTCCAAGCGATTCGTTCACTGCCAGCTCCTACTAAAGAACTGCACTGCTATTGTTGAACCATAATATGGGCAAATGGATGGTACCGCCGGCACTATGCTTTAAAACATGGAAAAGTTATTTACTTCAACAGGCAAAGCACTCGTTCGGCGAATTTGGAAGAAGGTTCAGCAAAAGTCTCCAAGCCCGTTATGGGACGTTCTGTCCCACCTGTTGCGTTCAGCAGACCCGGCACTAACAGAACTCCATCTCCTTCCTGTTGCTGTCAAATCAACCAAATGAGAGAGTGCTTAATTAAACCGGGACTATTCAAAGAGGACTTCTTCAAGGTTTTTTTGCTTTTTAAAACAGCTCATTTGTCAGTATTCCAGGACATAACGCATCCACAAATGTTACCTGCTAAAAAAGGCAATATTATGTTTAGCGCTTATTTGGAAAATAGCTCACTGGTTGCTGAGGAAGATTGAAAAGGTATTAGAAAAAATATCGACAAATGGTCCAAAGGACTTTCAACAACCTCCATAGAATGCACTGTGATCGTTGAATTCCACGATCACTCACCATATCTCAAAAATTCCTTTTCCCACGCTCCTCAAAGACCTTACTCAACACAAACATTTCTCAAGAAAGCAATGACAAGCTTCTGTGTCGTAATTCTTTAGTGTTGATCAACGTGTCGCGTGAGTGATAACCTTGACAACGGCAGTTATGACCTTTTTGAGCCAATAGGTGATTTTTCGTTATACAGGGTGGGCAAAAATTACGGTAACAAGAGCGCTAACCAAACATCTCGATTTCCTTCGAACCTAATAAATGCACCTGGTTGAAGAGACCCCGGAGAGAAATCACTAGACACAACAGCAAGGTAGACCGCTTGTGCACAAAGCAATATTGTGCAACATTGGTTTTGCAGAATTTTCCGAATTCATGCCATTGAACGAGGGGCCACCTTATTTTCCCGTGTTAAAGCAAGTGGGTTATTTTCCGTGGAGTCTACTGAAGACGATGGGCTACTACGAGTATCACTAAAGCATCGACGAATTAAAGAAGATCCTAGGGTAAGCTCGATGTCACCTACCTACACAACAGGCCATATGCGTTCCCGAGATGACTTCATTCAGGTATAAACGCAAACAGCGGCCAGTCCAAGAAGTGATGTTGTATTCTGTCTGGTGACCTCCTATGAATACATTGTTGGGGTCCACGTGTGTCTTGCTGGCCGAATTGCTCTTCCATGAACACTTTATCCTGTTACCGTAATTTTTGCCCACCCTGTATAATGCGCTGTTGTTTGTCTGATCGTATATGTCGTTTTGAACGTTCAAAACTGACCATACGGCCGGCGAATTTTTATGTGGAGCCAGTGTTCCTGAGTCATTTTCAAAATAGGATTTCATTTGATGGCAGGCGAAGGACGAAGAAGGGAAAAAACTTGACCAGAACCGAAAAATACAGACGGAATTGCTCTGAGGACCGATCTTTCTTAATGGACATGCAATCGCTGTAAGGGGGTACAGGGTGGGGGATGCAATTATAAAAAGTACGTTGTGTCCTCCACCATTCAGATGGCTACTAAACACACTCTGTTTCAAGCTCGAACCGAAGGAGTCAAAAAATCGCTCCGAGTGACCACCTGTCGTGGACGCATCAGACTTATCCTGCCCCGCAGATGCAACATCACTTCTTGGACGCGCTCGTCTCTGGCGTTTATACCTTGACATGAAGTTCATTTTCGGGGAACACCATCGTGCCTGCGCGTGCCTGTCGTGTAGGTAGGTGACATCGAGCTTTCCCCAGGAACTTCCTCCTTCTCATCGATGCTTTAGTGATATTTTTGTAGCAGCCCCATCGTCGTCAATAGACTCCTCGGAAGATAAAAAACACTTGTTTTAAATGGTAGAATAAGGTGGCCCCTCGTTTTAATGGTCATGAATTCGGAAAATTCTGCAAAACCAATGTTGCACAATATTTGCTTTGTGCACAAGCGGTCTACCTTGCTGTTGTGTCTAGTGATTTCTCTCCGGGGTCTCTTCAACCAGGATGCATTTATTAGGTTCGAAGGAAATCGAGATGTTTTGTTAGCGCTCTTGTTACCGTAATTTTTGCCCACCCTGTACATTTACGAAGGGTCAACTGTGCGAAACTCTTGTTCATTCTACCTTACTCTAATTCAACAAAGGATTCGACAATGTTAGTCACCCTAACGCTCATTCTCTGCACTCATGATGATTCAATGAGTAGGCCCGGATCCCTATGAGGACCTCAATCCTCCGATCTTCCGTGAACCTCTTTCACAGACCTGAAACGGCTTCAAAACTTTACCAAGATCTCTTCCAAAACTTCATTACGATACTGTTGAAAATGGAGATATTGAGAACTACTTGCACTATCCAACAACGCAACTCCAACAGCGACATTCGTCACTACAGAAGCAACTGTTATCAGGATACTGTTAACGATAAACATTTTCACTTGACCGCAACTCAATACAGATAAATCCCAAATTCAATGACAGCAGATAAAAAATCCAGATTAAAAAAAATTAAAATGACAACTGGGAGAAATACAATTTCAAAAAAAAGAGAACAAAACAAGGATACTAGAAAAACGAAACAACAAAACAGAGGTCCGAGATACCAACTTTTTAAAGTAAACTCGGGTGAACCGCTTCTTCGGCAGTATCTCGACGGACATTTCTCAAACGTTTGACGAACACGTCGTCGCAGTCTAGCGAGCAAACAGCATTCTCACAACACATTTCCAACCTTATCTGTGCCAGACGTCCGTCGAATTTGTACCTTGGAAACCTCACCAAAGACGTCCCAAGAGAGAGGGAGAGAGTGTGAGAAAGAGGGAACGCCCTCAAATGACCACGACAAACACAACACAACAATGACGATGACGGTGGTGATAGTGACACTCTAAAAATCAGAAGATACGAGATAACATGATTGGAGATATCAAACGTTTGGAAGAGGAGGAAAAGCCGGATTGAGATGAAGATAATATCGGTAAGAGAGTCACTGACTATGCCAGCGCCTAATGAAACCCTACTTTTGTGAACAAGGGCAGCGAACTGGGCCGACATAACATTGAACGGATTACCGCATTAGATAGCATAAAAACACGGCATTACCGGGCATGTGAACACACTCTTCAAGTGTCTCACATAATCAAGCATCGCTCAGCTGGATCAGACGGGTCATCCGATTCGGCAGACTCGAATGTAACTGATGACCGGAGGTCTCCTTCGTGGTCCTCAAGACGCACAGACGGATTCTCGCCCATGGGCCACTGAAATTATCGTTCTAATTTTGCTATATGTTCAGGGATGAATTGAGTTTAAACGAGTAAATATGATTCTGAAATGATAGAACCAATGCGATAACTCTCCCGTGTGATAAGAACCTAGCTCATTACAGAGACACAACTGCGCAGTGGGAGGAGGGAAAGAAGAGGTGAAATGTCTGAATGAAGCCAGCCGTTCCAACAGAAATTTTTCAAAAAAAAACCTTATTTCTGAATAAAGAACTTTATTATCATCCAAGTAAATCCAGGCTGCAATCAACAGTAAATTTGCAACGAGGCGTTGAAAAGGAGAGGTGGGTGCGAGTAAATTATACTAGGATTTCCCGTAGGGAATCACTTTACATTTATTGCTATAAATTCCAAGAAAAATCTTGAAGGCGTGAAACATGTTTTGCCAAGTAGTACCCACATTGTCCTACCTGAGCAATTAGTCAGCCCATTCACATGTTGCCTTCCGAGGCTTAAACTTCAATTTTTCTGGAATCTTTCCCCAAACACGATATGAAATCGCCATGTTCCCTCTGGCTTCCCAGAGTTCTTTTCAGTGATCATCCTGCGTACTCACCAGTGTTGTGAAGTGGGTGGAGTGTGCTAGCAAATTCACAAGGAGCAGCAGCCTAGCTTTAAAGATTCGGGAGTTCTGACAGCAAAAGCCCAACCACCTCTATGTTCGACACTTCTGAGATTTTAGTGGAGCACAGAATGGAATTGCCAGGGAACCGCGCCCAACTACCAAAGATTCAGGACATAATGTAAACGTCGAACGCATCAATGGCGAGCGCGTTCTGTGGAAGGTTATAGCGGAACGTCCTGTTTTTTTCTGAATAGGTCCATTAGATCGCCCGACCCTTTCGGAGAAGTCATAAAAAATTGCAGACCTTTGGGCTAGCAGTTCTTCCAGCTCCACCGTGAAGCCCTGCCCTCGTACCAGCGAAGATAACCTAGACTTACTCATACCGCATTATTCTTCAGGAAGAAATTTTACGCCTAACTGACATGACCTCAAACCTGACTACCGATCTTTATTGGTCGAATAACTCCTGGAATTCTAGAGAAAAGACAGCGACTAAATTCCCATATATAGCCAATAGCTTGTAGATAACAAACGTGTATAGCTTTAAGGTGAGCAAGCACTTCATGAAAATAAAAAATAATAAAGGATAAAGCATTTGCCGTTGATCAATCCCTTTTTGGGATGCGGCACGCATTCTACTTCCATTTGTACATTCGCAGTGGCATTTGAATGCGATGTGGCCTATACAATGACTTGCGGGGGCCAGCCGATGTTCAAGTCAGTGTTTTTATCCTCCCAGACAAGTCTGGTACCAATTAACCGACCCCGGAGGGATGGAAGGCTTGGTTGGCCCGGGCGACTCACGACCCAGGATTGATCCCGGACCGCTCGCGTGGTGAGCGCGCCACTTGTCACTACACCACTTCCGCCCTAATTCCTAAGAAAATAAAAATAAAAGAAAAAAATGAAATTGGAAAATGCCCAAAGTGATTCACTAATTATGAGACAACCTAAAATTATTCCTCGGGATCTCCAGCCAAATTCGGCAAACCATAATATTAAATTGGGATAATTAGTGACCTCGCGTGGATATCAACACCAACAAAGCCACAGGCGCTCTGATGGGGTTCCACAAGTTCGAAAATGTACATTGATTATTTAACATTTGACGGTATAATTCAAGATAAAGGAAATCTACAAGGGAAACCAATATCCTAGATAGCTGACCAATGCGTCACTCAAAAACATGCCATAATACATGTGGGTGAAGTAGTTAACACCTGGTAGAAGTTCGTAGAGAAAGAACATGTATTATCAGTAGTCAGAAGAAACTACTCTATGTTCAGACATTTGCTGGTGAGAGCCTCAGACTAAGTAAATATAATATTGCACTACAAAATGCCTGAACACACTTTCTAAAACCTCCACTTCAAAAGCAACCAGGTTCACGATGTCTTCGTTTCTACTACTGCATGCACTGAGAATTAATCATTTATTTTTCTAATTATTCGAGTTTATTCTAATTCATTATTCTAATTATTCTATTTGTATTTCATATTAACTATCTCATAACCTTCAGAACAGCTCTTAAAAGCAGCGATTACGATGGGTTCTGGAGGGGTATCTAGTGGACGTGGGGATGCTCAATGGCAAGCAAATGGCAAAAAAGGAGAGAAACCAGTCAAGATAACATAGGAACGATCCTATTGTTTGGCCGTTGATTTTAAATCAAGCACGGGCATTGACTAAGACAGCGTATGCATGGACGCGTTACGCGGTAAGGCGTTTGGTGGCATCGAGCCAAACCATGCTCCTGTCTAGTCGCTCCAGTTGTGCCACTGCTGGCAACACGTATCACCAATTGAACTAATGGGTTGGGGCGCTTTGGGGGCGAGTCGATTTCCAAATACTGCTTAGCCACCATCGCACCTGTTGTCGTTAGAACGCTATATACAGGGGTGCCAAAAACAGTCACTTGCCCATGGCGCACATCATCAAATTTTTCGTCGCACAGGATGCCGTTGTTAATGAATGTTTTACGGCAGAATATTCCTTAGGTGTCCCCCCATAAGCAGAAGCAGGCCCTCCTTCACTGCCCCCCACCGTCTTCAGAATATGACGTCATCTGCCGTCACCGTCGAGCTCAACGAGGCTTACCGTAATCGCTCCGGCCTGAAGCTGCTACATAATTTCTTCAATCGATTAACTGGTGAATAGCTTTAAGAGACACTAGCTGTGACTGTGCTGTGCAAGACCGCTTTTGACCAGCGTTTCAGGGACGTCGTAATGGTCTATGGTACCTCGACGACCTCGTGATATGTACCGTAATCATGTTTCGCATGGAAAGTTTTCTGAGTGGACGTCGGTGAGGCGCTAGCATATTAGTAACTCTTGGAAGCTACGAAGTTATACGAATCCAGTTGAGATCATTTGTTTGGTTTCGCAGCGGTGAATTAATACCGTTTTGAATGAGGAGGGAAGTGACTCTTTTTTTTGCCCCCTCCCCTTACCTTGTGCATCTCACATCCCTGGCAGCCAAGCTACTGCTTCGTGGTGAGGCGAATGCTTCCCCAATGCGCTCTCCCTTTGTAGAGAACGCTTCCTTTGAACACACTGACCGCTCTTATTCAAAAGAATGCTTGATATGCATTTAATGCCGAATATTGTTCCATATAGATCAGAACACTGCTGTTCCAAGTCGGACTATCACCCTGCGACATTAGCAAGTCATGGATGAGATGATTCAGCTTGGCACTGATTTTGGCCTCATTTAAAACGGTACGTACCATAGTGTCATACCGTACAGGAGCCGAGGCCCATAAAAAAGCGTTAACTATTTACTCCTTAGGGCGATATAAAGGACACGGACACCCTGCTATACATTGAGTAATTCCTCTACATAATCCACAACAAAACCTCCTTAAGGGAATAGAGCATCCACGTCATGCGCTACGCAACAATTAACCTCTCACCTACTAAACCAATTAAAGTAGACATTACTATACATGTACCATTCCATGAAGTATCACCCTTCGGCACTATTAGTCCTGAATGACATCTTCTGAAGTGGCTAGCTCTAATTTGGGCCTCGATAACTGGCGGTACATCCTAAAGTCGTACCGCACCTCTCTCAAGGCCATTCAAACAACTCTATCTCATTGAACATGAATTAGTTCCGTGGTTAATTAACACTCGAGCAGGTGTGCCTTTCTATGGATGGGTCCGATTATTGGACCAGAAAATTTTGAAAGGGTTTTTCTTGATCAGAATCCCGTTTCACTTGACTTTTTACACCAATTAATGCACTAGAAATTGAAAATTTTACAGAATATTTCGCTCCCGAATGCAGCAAGATTCTAGGCAAGTACCGAGGAGGAAGGATTAATATTAGTCCCACGCAGTACTGCTACCAACTGCCATAGAGCTGAGATGGGAAAACGAGCTGCTTTTAGATCTGGCATTACATTTCCTATTTTGATGAATGTACCACTCGAGGAATATCACCCTTAGCCGATGTCAAGTCCAGGATGACCTAGATTGAAATGGCATTGATATTGGCCTCGTTTTTGTACGGTGCGTGACATGTTGTCATGCCGTGCCTGGATAGAGGCCGACCAAATCATCTGAGCAGATGTTCCCATGAATCAGCAATATGCTTGCAGAGCTAGATCACCAAATATGATGAAACTCCTGAACAGGAAAACTACTTACTCGTAGCTTAATCGAGAAATGGAAGAGGCCAATTTCGATCAGTCAAGTCTCCCTTGAAAAAAAGTCCAGTGTGTTCTTATGAAGAACAATTGGAGCGCTTGAGTGAAACCCAAGAAGTATAAAACAATGCAGATTCAAGCAAGTGAAGTACCGAAATGCAATCTGGAAGATTTGCACTCACGAACTATCCAAAATTGGTACATTGTTTATTTTTTTGTATTTTTTTGTTTTTGATTACATGATATGCCACTTTCACCCGAAAAGACCAGAAACGATAACACGCCAATTAAAGCGCGTGCGTAACCTCTCATCGAGTATTCACACAGAAAGGAAAGCGTGAAGTATTGACTGAGACGAAAAACTTTATCTCACACATCGAATGCCAGTCCTTGCTCAGAATTAAGACAACATAACATTCAAAAGGTTCTGAAACCCTACCTTCAATGGAACCCAAGTTTACGACTCGTTTACTTATACGACTCCAATCACCTAATCATTTACTATATTTGAACATATCAGAACCACTCTTAACCATCTGGCTCTCATTCACAAAAACATTTGCAATTACTGTCTCAGATAGTTCATCAAATAACTGTGCCAAGAAATGCATCACCCTGCGACAATGATAAGTCATGGATGAGAAAGGCCGACTTGGCTTTGATTTTGGCCTCATTATTAAACGGTATGTGCCATAGTGTCATACCGCGCTAGGAGAGGCCGAGCAAACAACAACAAAACATAAGTCGCTAATCACCTTTTTAGGATGTGACACACGCATACAACCTCTAAACGTCAGCGCTCACCTAGGCAAGCCTCATAGCCACTTACCAGTCCCTTGGGGATGACTAATTGGTGTGAGATGGTCCGGAAGCAGATCTCCCTGAATAAATCCAGATAAACTCACATTCTGTTTCTTCATAACGAAATCAGTCGGTGGGCGATGTTTCTCTCCAGAATCCGCTGAGTAGACAGTGGCGTGACCATGGGGGTCCAACTTCATGCGTGTGTTGAACTGATAGGTGACCTGAAGGGGTGAGGATAAGAACCACATCAAATAAACCGTCACGAAACTGACACATGGTTTTCTTTCACTCGATATAACTCAAAAATTGACTCACTTCCTTTCCACCAGCACGAACGAGCAGTTTCCAATGAGCAATGCTGACTTCTTCATCGGTGTTGTTGCTGATGCGCACCCACTGACCATTAGGATCGATCTCTTCAATTCCTACTGGACCATCGACGTGCTTCTGCATCTGAAACATAGAAAACCACTAGACTAATTTCTTATCCTTGGAATGGAAGAAAATGACCTCATATCCATTCGATGCTTTACTCACTCTCTGGCTAAGTCGGTGGAAATCTAACTCATCACCGTTGCCGTCCCATTCGATTCTGGCTCTCTTCACTCCACGTTGAGCGCTTCCTGAAAAAGGTATCAATCAACTTACTAATTTGTTCACAAATCGTCGAACGGTACAGCATAAAGATCAATATTGTTTATAAAGCCTGCAAAAAAAACGACATCGACTTACCACTACCGGATGTGTACGATACATGGTGCGATGTCATACTGTTGTCACGAGACTGATTACCACCGGAGATGTTGAGGCGACTCTCCTCAGACTGAAACCAAGAGAATTCAATCACTTTCAGAAAAAGTACACCCTCATCAGCAATACAGCCGAAACAGGACGACAGACAATCCTCATCCTGTCAGGTCTTCAAACAGAACACACTGGGAGTGTAGGTCTGTATGGGGTGTTCTTATGAGGATCGCAAGAAATAAGTCAGTAAGCGAGACGCTGAGGGAAGAACCACAGCTACTGATCGGTTGGGTGCGATGATACTCCATGCACACTTGCTACGAAGTATGCCGCTTCGATACACACTAACTCCTGACCAAGCAATAGGTTCAGCAATTATTTAATGGTCAAAAGAATGCTAATAAAAAGTCGCAATTTCAACTTATTCAAAGATTAGAATTCTCACTCAATCCATCATACACAACCATCGAAGAATCCCCGTCAATTATCTACATAACGACTAACCTTTACAAAATTCAGACAAATTTGCAAAGAATACACAGATTATGAAGAACCTAATTTTCATCCATTTTCTTAATAAAAATAAGAGGTAGACTCTAACCTCAAGCAGCATACGATATGTATTCAGCTCGGTATCGAGCTGAATCTTCACATCGAGCAAATCGTGGAACTCATCCATCATACGTTGAATCTCGCGATTTAGCTCGGCGATGCGAATTTCCTAGAAGAGATGGATACCGTAAACTTGTGCAGATTTCGCATAGGTGGCTCGCTACTCACCTTTCCATCCAGTCTCTCCTGGTAGGACCTTCTAGCCGCATCCATATCGTCCTTCAGGCTAGCTATTTCACGACGAAGGCCATCGATCTGAATATGGCTCTCATTAGAAGTGAACAGAATGTAAATAATAAATAAGTTAATAAACAAACAGAATGAAGATGGACAGAACTGAAGTACTTACCACTGCATCGTGACTGCTACCACTTTTCTCAAGTTCATGGATACGAACACGCATGCGAGCCGCATCGTCATGTGCAGCTTCGGCACGTTCACGCGCATCGTTTAGCTGCAAACAATAACTTGATTGAAATAACTATAACGATCCTGCTGACATATATGCTACTTGATAAGTGTGTTCTACCTTATTTTTGTACGATTCCTCAAAAGCGGTCTTGTTCGCCGAAAGCTGAGCTTGGAAACGTGCTCGCATCTCAGCCAGCTGATCCTGCAGCTTCGATTGGTATTCGTCGTTGATCTGTTTGGCGTATGTGGTCATGTCGACCTGACGCTTATGACGGACTTCCTCGAGGGCCTGGAAAGTAAGCAGTGAGCAACTGTGCCATGGTGCCACATAAAGTACGTAGCAAACACTACTTACCGACTTGTGTTGCTTCTTGAGGAACTCCAAATCCTCCGTTAGAGCTTGAATCTTCGAATTGGCTGCGGCACGTAGCACACTTTCATCCTCAAGATTTTTCTGTAGAGAAGCCAACTGCATACGTAGACGACCATTCTCTTTCTCGACATCCTGGAAATCATAACGAAAATGATAAATGTAACTTAAAACGAACCACCGCAAAGTGAACTTACACCAAGTTCGATTTGTGCTTTGTCGAGTTTGTTCTGCAGCGTCTTCTGTTTGGCTGAGCTTGATTCCGCCAACGACAGCGCTGTTAGACGATCATCTTCCGACTAAACAACATATCAACCATCATGACTTCCGTATTGTGATGTGATCGATCTCTAACCTTCTTTAAATCTCTCTCTAGCTTCCCAACTTTCGAAGCTAAACGTTCATGATCAGCCAAAGCCGAATCACGTTCAACTGCAAACTTAGCTGCTTGCTCACGAGCATCATCCAGAGCTTGGCGGAGACGAGCCTGTAAAAACGAGCTTTACCATCCCATAAACGAGCACATTCGGAACCTTTTACAAGGCGTTCCATTTTCTGCACTCTGAAGTGACTTTTTTCACCAGCTCTCACAAAACACAGCACACTTCTGAACTCCACTCCGGACGGGAAGTAGCCACCGAAAGTTCCAATGAATACCGTAAGCTAGCCACCATAAAAATCAGTCCCACCCTTTCTCGCAAATTCTACGCCAATGAATCCCGAAATATGGAAGTCCGAACAATTTGGGCAAAAAACCATTCCAGCACATGGTAAGAAATATGAGCGATTCCACTCACCTGGCCCCTTGGCACATGAAAAAAAAAAAACAACACGACAAAGCAAATTTTGTGCTCCTTTTAATTTTCTAACTTCTTTCGGTATCAACACAGTCTTCTTATCAAGGACTTGCTTAAGGTGCAGCATTGACTTCGTCGCGCAAAGTTGACTTCCCCGGAGCTGGGAACAAACTATGTACAATGACAAGATTAGGTCTCGCCAACGATTATGAGTGTTGTTATTGCTGTGGTGCTGGCTGTCTTCCCTACAACAAACGACAAGACACATGTTTTCAAATGGGCTGGGTTAGACGCGAATTTGAAATGGCTTCCGTAATCTTCTACAAAGATCCCGATGTTTTTCTCGACTGCTTGATGTATAATAACCCATTCAACTCTCCCCTGAAGAATCTAAAACTGGCCCTTAAAAAGGAGAGGGTTAAAGTTGACTAAAAACATACACGCTCGGCTTCAAAGCGTTCAGCGAGGTTATTTCTTTCCTTCTTCTCGATTATTTCGATGTCCTTGATCTGCACGGTGAGACGGCTGTTCTCGGCCTCTAACTGACGCACTTTCTGTAACAAAAAGTTTCCATGATACACTTTTAATCGCAGACTTGACACCGACACAACAATTCAACTTCGTTAAGGAAACCACGTTCGAATGTATAAGTGTGCCCAAGACTACTGTTCAGCCCTGTAATGCTGTTCTTTTTCTTTGCAGTCTAGTGTTTTCAAGAAGCGACGAGCTGGAATTAAATTAAATGGAAACCAGGCCAGAGGAAATATTACACTCACATTGAACAATACTTACAAGGAATCATCGCCAGCATTCGATGAGGAGGTGGTGCTGAAGCTGACCTCAGTTCTAATAGGTCCTGAAGAGCGAGTTGTCTTCGTCTTACGAGTGGACATGATGAAGGCTGTTTACCTGCAAAAATAGCTTATGATGATTCCTGAGTACAAATGGCAACTTTAGCGACAGCGTACGCAACGAAATCGTACGTGCAAACAGCTATGACGCGTTCAATCTCAAGGCCAAACAAATAGAAATTTTCCTGACAAAGAGCATATGGATTACGTCCTCGTATGTAAGACCAGTCGTCTAGAGAAATAAGGACAGTTTGATAGCAATCTTTACCGAAGGTTCACACAACGTAGTATAAATAAGGCTCCCAGGAGAGCGCAGTACGTGAAACATGTGCTGCGTCAACAAAAAACCACGAACCGCCAAATCAACAGAAGCATTACGCGCGGCGAGTCTGCTTCCTCGTTGAAAACACGAACTAGAGTTGAAAACATAAGTACAAAAGAAATACAGAACATAACACCAAGGTCAGAAAAACATTTTCTTTAAAAAAAAGAACACGACCATTGTAATAGAATATTAGCTGTATGGAAACAAGCTTCCACCAAAACTTACTACTTCTTGCCATCCAAATAACAAAGCGTGACGGGATTGCACCAAGAACCGTTCCAAACAGATGCTATCCTAACCAAGAAATATATTTTCGTCTCCGCAATCCCTCAACAGTCCACACCATATGGCGCGGTAACCTAGGATGCTTCCCAATTACAATCAGTTTCTTCTTGTAGCCAACAGTGCAGAAGCAAACTTAGGCGGTCATAACCAGATCCTGACTCTGCTGCCAGATCGTCAATTCCACAGATACCTGCACACATACGTTGCTTAACAAGAGAGTACTTGACAATTTCCGCGTGCTAGCCCGAAAAGTGTTAAACAAGTAATAATGAAAAAAGTGTAAAAATAGTTTAACGTTCAAAGTACAAAGTTTGGGTCAATCGTCGAATCGCTGTAACCTGAGGTATACTTTGACTTTCCCCGGTCCACAAAATCACGAATGAGTATATTTTGACACCGTTACAGCTTCAATTTGCTATCCACAAAAAGGGAATCCTACTTTGCAAGGGAGCAAATCCAGCCCAGTAGGGCTCAAAGAAGAACGAATTACGAATGACTTCGAGAACAAAATTCATGATGACTGGTTAACCCATAACGGACGGCCAGTGTATTTTTGCGTGCGCCACCATGTGGCGCACGCCGCCACCCAGGGTAGGGTTTATGTAGGCTTATGTGAACAGCAGGGGTAAGACGGGGCTAAAGTAGGTGTCGGAGTCTCATCATCAGAAAGAGATTCGAGCCGCGGGAAGAAGAGATTTCCCGTTGACGACATGTTCGTAAGCCCGCCTTTCCGCTCTAAAACTAGGGTGCAAAGAATGAATGGAAGCTGTAGGTGACATTATCGAAAAATGCGAAACAACAACCCCGAGCAAGGATGTGGCTATATTTAGGGGAAGGGGTCTCGGGACGTGCGAACCATGGGTAAGCCACCCATCAAATAGTAAACTTATGTAAATTAAGACAAAATGTATGTAAAATTTATTGTAGGTTTGTCAAAAATCCAGTCGTCCAGGTCCTGGGAAGATATGTTATTCCACATTGCTGAGAGTATATACGGGTATATTAAGATTGCTAGAAACATTCCAAAAACAAAAGAAATAATCGTGCGCCACCTTGTGGCGCACGCCGTCCGTATGGGTTAATCAGATCGCGCAGAAACAACGAGCCATACTTTACACTTCGCTATCTCTAAACAACTTCTGACATCTACAAAGTCGCTTAGGCGAAAAAAAAACCCTAACGTTCCTATAACAAGTAAACCACCACAAGACCCATTGATATTGTTCGTTATA